TAAGGTAGCAGGTTACTGCCTTTGCGGGAAGGGATGAGGTGGATGCCTAAGGGTGGGTAGTTGCCTCTGTGGCTTTGAAGCAAGAGTTTTGGAAAGAGCGACACGAGGTAGATAGGTAGGTTGAGGGAACCACTGACCCGGGAAGGCAGCCGTGGGTCGAGCCTTCCTCACACCGCGTCGGAGCCGCCTCTGGAAGGAACCGGTGGCTTCCAACCCGAACACTCCCTCGTCCGCATCACAACCTTCCTTGATGCTGACGAAACCTCAACGCGAAGAGATCCACGATGTCCAACACCACATACCACGCATCAACGGGACTCAAGACAGAAGCACACTACACCACCACCGCCTGAGTTCTTATCTTGCCGCCTACTGTGATTGCTTCTGGACTTCAGCCGGGCGCCTGCTGACCCTGGCATCAGCTATCAATGTGCGTCAAGATCTGACATACCTCGCTAAGAGTGCGAGTGTCAAAAGTGCCGCGGACGCGTCAGGCGTCAAGGCAGCCTCCGAGGACACCCCCTAATTGACTGCAGAAAAACGCGCCCCCGCGCCTGAAGCACCGGTCGTCATCGGATGTCTCCTACGCATTGGCTAAAGTGTCTCGACATGGCATAAGCGTACGGGCTCTGTGCCTGGTTAGACCGTGATTCTCTCTGGAAGGGGAGCGATCAACGACAATCGCCGTCCATGAACTGATGTGTCGCCTGGAGACCTCTAGCACGCACCCTGCGCATGATCTGACGACAGAGCGAGTCACTTGGGAGGTAGTCATTCTCGATGAGACGCATGTGCCCATGTCCGGTCGAAATTCACAATACACACGAGACGAAGAGGGCGCGAGCTCAATCTTGTTGGTTTGTCTGTCTCACCCTTTATCGCGGACCTGAGCAATACTCGGTGACAGAAGCTAACCTTGAATTATCCACCAGGCCCAAGCAAATTCTCTTTGGATGCCTCCATTACCCAACGGAGCCTAGCGTCATGCCTCTCGCCGACATGCCGGGTGACATTGACAACGAGCCAACGCCCCGGATGGCTCGCGGCCGGGGAAAGGCTAGGATCGGCAGTCCAGTGACATCTATCCGTGCATACCCGTCGTGGACGACCGTTTGGGTACCGCCCAAGGAACGCGGCTAAGGAAGCAACACAGTCACCGAGTGTGGTGCTCAGTCAGATAACGCTGTTGGCCCACTGGGCTTCGCAGCCACGAGCCTCACCGAAACCGGTCAGTATTGATAGGACGGCCCTTTAAACTGTTGCGGGAAAACTCCCTCCTAACAGCGCCAATGTCACCGGCATCTTCGGTGAATATGTAATTACCCCCGTCGCAACGGCTAGCATAGGTCTTTGGCAATGACGGGGACTCGACCAAAGTACCCTACCTACCTTCCCAAAGGAAACAAGGTGGAACTCTGGCGTTATCATCTGGGCCACTTCAGTCCACGTATTTGGAAGGGGAATCGGCATCGCAGTCGGCCATGATTCGACTTATCATGGCACAGCAAGCTTCCAGCTCAAACCTTTCGTGGGCTCTGAGCTGATTCGATGCCTCCGCAAAGATAACCGGATGTCTCTTCTCGGGTTATGACTGCCACACCACAACCCCAACATGCATCTCCAAATTGACATCGCGGACGTCATCGGTAATCTGGGACATAACCTTACGCTGGCGCAAGATATCGCATTGGCTGCTGGCGAAGACGTCTACGTTCCACGGAAGACACCCATCAACATCCGAGAAGTGGGTATTCTCCAGGCGATCACAGGCGCGCAGAGCCACTCGGCTCGCGTGCCCTGAATAATGGACCCGGGGACGACATCTCCAGGGCCGATCGCTTCTGGAGCGCAACGTGAGCACGTCTTCATGCTCGTGAAGTCGTGCTTGAGGTGTGTTACTCAATCGAAATTGCATGCTTGCTGGAGACAGCTGGGGACGAACCGACGGCATCGCGGTTCTGCCCGTGGATCACTCGGGGTCTGGTCGGTACAGAGACCCACGCTGAAATGGAGATTAATCGCCGTACTGACTGCTATCTCATTCGACCGGGCATTTTTGTACTGCCCGCCGGCTTCACGCTCTTCATTACCCCGGCCTCCGAAGCGGTACGAAACAGTCGGTCGTCGGAACACTCTGACAGAGGGACTCATGTCAGCTCAATTCATTTTAGGTTGACAAGGAGCCCGTCGCCGGTTATCGTGCTCGTGAGACGCCCCGCAAGGATTTCCTTGGCTAGACGGATATTGGGGTCGAAAATTCGAGAAGTACGGTCGACACCCGGCACTTAGCTGCATTGGGATATGTCGGCATCCTGCGTCCAGCTTTGAGGTGGTGTTCCCGCGAGTATTCAGCTGCACGCTGAAATGTTGCAGAGCGCAGACATAGCGCTATTTCTGCGGGCTTCGAGGGCCTGCAGAGGCTGAGAGAGACTTCGAAACGCTCGTGATATTCTGCCTCGATCAGAGGAAAAGAGAGCCTTGAAGCAGGCTATCTGGTTGCTTGAAGTCAGCATTTGGCCACACCTCGGCCTAAGCAGAACAGCACGGACAGCGGTACAACCGGCCGAAAGCATTTGGACAGTGCCCCCGCAAGCCCACCCAATTCAAGGGCAATTCCGCGTAGTGGCTGGCATTTTGGGTCTGAATCGTGGCGTCCTGAGACGCATCCTTAGACAGAGATCCCCTTTGTCTTGCGGCCAGTCCGCGGGAGCTCGCCCCCAAGCCGCCTTGCTTGGCCAGGTTCGCCGTCGCCTATTGGAAGTGGCTGAATGGCACATCCGCGATCGCAACTTTCAACCCACCCAACGGGTTAGCCTCAAGCGGCGTTCATTCGGACGTGTCTCTGACAGCATCACGGCCATTGGCCGTGCTCAACGAGTGGCTTATCGGATGGCACCAGCACGGGTTGGTGGAAGGCCGTTGGAACATGCACAATGCTTCTACGGCGTTAGTCTTCCGCCCGCAGCACAGCTCTCCCCAGCTTTGCTCTTTGCCTCAAACACAGCTGGCCAAGCTGGCGTTGGTTGCTTGGCTAACCATGGCGGAACAACGAGGGCATCCGCGATGGCGGAAGATGAAGCCTTTGACCTGAGGGCGATGTGGACCGAGGGACATCGGAAGACTGCCCGGTCGCGACCCAGGGCCACAGCGAGTTGGCGACGGCCTGCGACTCTCACCGCGGCCTTTCCGAAAAGGGGGAGGGCCAGGCCGATAGGACACTCGGAAACAAGCACGATGATTGGTGGTCTGAGTCAGGACTCGGTTGTTGGCGCCTTTTAGGCCGGCCAGGTCACTTTCACACCTTCTTAATCCAGAACAGTGGTGGCACCATTGTCACAATTCCCCGCCTCCTGGCCACCCTGGAAATTGGAATTGCTGCTGGTTGTTGTGCGCTTCAACCACATTCCCACAGCCCTACCGCAGAATGTCGACATGCTTCCCGCCGCCCATTGGACAAACATGGGACGAAATCCCGGGGGTCTCCTGGACTTCTCTGTGCAGGCCCTGGAGAAAGAGGCTGGACGCAGTAGGGCGCGCTGGAACGGCGATGAACAACGAGGGAGAGTGTCCGCCGCGATGAGATTCTTACCCACTGAACCAACCACAGGATGAACCAACCGACCTGCTGCTTCGCCAGAAGCCATGTCCATGTCTTCGATAGCAACCCGTCCCTCCCACTCACCACGCCCAACCCAACCCTTCCCCCCATCCGAACTGCTCAGGTCCCCCCAATCTCCTCTTGCTCCTCTCGGTCAAATTGCCAGCCAGCGCCCGTTCCGAAGCAACAAGAGTGGTCGTGAATGGTTCCCCATTCGTTTAGAAGACGCCCGGACGGCTAGACTACCAGAACTTCATTGGCCATGTAACGCTTCTTTCCCCCCCTTTGCGCAGCTCCACGGACCCAGCTGCTGCTCTGTTGCTGGAGAGGCCCTCTTATCACTGGAAAGAGCCCCGAGGGGAGGGGATACGGGCTTGTTCTACCCATGTGCCACGCTCGCTTTCCTTGTTGAGGAAATTACGCGAAGGAACTTTTGCCTGCAGCTTTCACCACACGGGGGAACTTGGCGACCGCCGACCAATACCAGCGCAACGGCGGAAAGTGGTCTTCGTTGAGTGTCGGAGAAGAGCCCTACCAAAGCGACCTGGTGTGCTTGCTACTGTCTGCCTTTTCGCATCTCGAGCTACTGACGGCTCCCTGATCCCCATATCTCTCTTCCTCCGTGGACGCAGACCGCAGGAGAGACAACTTTGCCTGCCGTCCGCCGCCTGTTTTGACCCGTCCAGTCCAGCCCAGCCCAGGTCCTGCCGCCTTTCTTCCAGTGGTTTTGTTCCTGTCCTTGTCCTAATCCGACGTGTCAAGCCAGAGCAGCCAGAGCCTGACCTTTCCCGACCAGCGCCAGTCCAACCGTCTCAGGCCCTTCACTCACTCTTTAATCTTTTCGAACCCATCGGTTACCACACTGGACCATGACGCTTTCTCTTCTGCCGCTCTATTTTTAACTTGGCAGCTAGAGACCCAGAGAGACCTTCTCTTTTATGTGGCGACGATCATGGGCACTTTTGTTTGGTCTCCTCCCACGCTCTCGTCTTTCATTTGAAGGTCCAGTGGCACCCCCTCCAACCGCACGGCAATTGATGCTTGCCTTGCCACAGGCAACGCGCTGGGCTTCTTGGATGAATCGCATTCGACGACACGAGGCACCTGTCCTACCGAGGAGCTTTGACTCGTCCGAGTCTTGAACTCATCAGCCCGCAGTCCGGTCCTCTGCTCCATCGGAGGACGGGACGCGGCCGAGATGTTCAATCATTCTGGGGACAGGCCCCGCGGTGCTCCCTCAGGTTCAGGATATGGGGGCAGTCAACACGGCCTCACTCTCAATACCTCTGGCCAACAATGGCCAAGGTTTGGCATGCCGCAAGGCATGGCCGGCTCTTCTTCGACATGTCCGCCTCCGCAGCAACAGCATCAGCAACAGTCACAGAGGGATTTCTCGTCGACCATGGAATGGACTTCACCGGGCGCGCAGCAGACGCGCTTCAACATGGGCTCCTCGATGAGCCACGCACCTCAGCAGCAACAGCAGGAACAGCAGAACGATGGCATGGAGCTTGACGAACTTAGCCCGGCCGGGCCTGGTGTCTCGAACTTGATCGCTCGTTTTGAGGGGATTCGCGCCGCACCGCCTAGCAGTAGCAAGGTCATGAGTCCGATGGGTTCTGTGGCAAGCCCGACAGTCACGAGCCCTTCATCGGCACATTTTGGCAGCATGAACGGCAGCATGCATAGCTCAACAAACATGAGTTCTTCTGGCATGAGTAGAATCACAAGTCCTGTCGTCAACAGCCCAGCAACGCCCAATTATTTTCGTGCCCCGGAGTCATTTCGTCCACCAGTGCCACGAAGTACCAAGCCTGTGTTGGGTCGCGCACCGTCTAACATTCCATTGTTCACGCCGGACCAACAATTCGGTGATGGGAACAATCGTTCAGGTCCTTCAAACTCCGCCGCGCAACCTCAACTACAACCTCAACCTCGACAGCAAATTCAACATCAACAGCAGCTGCATTTGCAGTCGCAACCTCAGTCGCAACCTGCCCCTCAACCACCCGCTCAACCTCAGCCAGTCGTTTTCAGCTCACGGCAGAACAACCTAACTTCAACAGCGAACGCCTTTAGCTCACAGCAGAACAACCTGACTTCATCGTCAAATACATTTACCTCACAGCCAAGCGACTTTGACTCATTAAATCCGTTCGGCTCACAACAGAACAACTTTAATTCAACACAAAATGCCTTTAGTCCACCGCAAAATACATTCAGCCCTCCTCCGAATGCTCTGAATGCCTTCAGTCCGCCCCCTCAACCTTTCAGTCCAGGCCCATTCAGCCCGGCACCCACACCGTTCAGCCCGGCGACATCAAGCTTCAGCCCAGCACCCACGCCCGCCCCGACCTTTGTGCCCCCGACCCCGAGTGGAATGCAGACACCATTCGGCCCTCCACCTCCCACATCGTTCCGGGTATGTGCCAACACGGCAGCCAAAAGCTTATTTTCTAACGTCGTGCAGGGCCAAGCTCGACAACCAAGCGTCGCACCCAGTGTTGCCCCCAGTGTCGCGCCCACGCCCAAGCCTTCAACGGGCGCCGGTAGTCGACCCTCTCGCGAGCAGGTGCCTGCCGAGGCATGGGAATCTTTTAAACTAACCATCAAACAACTGTACTTGGAAGAAAGACGGCCTCTGAAAGAAGTCATGCAAATCATGGCTGACCAGTATGGATTCCAGGCAACGTACGTCAGTCGGCTTCTATATGTTGAAACCCATGCTCACAATCACAGGCCCAAGATGTACAAGACACGGTTTTCGCAATGGGGATTTGTCAAGAACAACACTGAGGACGAGGTCAAAAGACTTTTATCGATGAAATTTCAGCGTGACGCCGAGGGCAAGGTATCCGAATTCGTACGCAACGGCAGAGTGGTCAACCTGGGCACGTATCTCAAGCGCAAGGGAGTGACGGAGTACGATCTTGTCGATTTCGAAACGCCTGCTCAACTTCCGTCGTACGTGCGATGTCGTACCCCGACACCGCCGCCCGCTCCGGGTTATCTGCAGTCACCAGATCTAGTCAGAGCGCAGGAGACAGTTGTTGCGAACATGAGGAAGGCCTTCTTGCACTGTCGCCAGTTCGAGGTCGAGACGGATCGGCAGATTGGATGGACATCAATCATGCTTTGGGGCGCCGGATCGAGCGACATGTTTACTGACGCGAACAAGAAATTCGAGATGGGCGAGCATGATGCCGGCGGACACTTGCTGATGAGGGCATTCAAGCGCTTAGAGATGGATCTCAAGCAACTGTCGCCACAGGGCATCAAGGAGTTACTACTTGGTATGGTGCACCGTGACGCCGGCATGATGACTGCACTTTGCAAGTACCTCGCGGCCTATTCGACGACCAATTTTGAGCGATCTCATCCCCTCCGACAGACGTTCTCAACTCTTTACGAAGTCCAGCAGAAGCACGGCCCGATCACGCTTTCCGAACTCATTTGGGGTTGCATCCCAACCATTGCCGAAGAACTCGAAGCTATCTATGGCAGACGCCACCCCTACGTGGCCCGCACATGGATCGACCTTGCCATCTTTTACAACCATGCCAACCCCGAAAGACTCGAGAAGCTTCTCGCCGAGCTTCAGCCGATGCGTCGACAAATAGCTGGACGATACGGACAGGGTAGCGCGGAGGACCTGTCTCTTCGATACGCTGTGGTGCAGTTGTTGCAAGCAGCGTGGCCTAACGGCGATACGACTCGACTAGAGGCGTTGGATCTATGGAACGCGATGAAGGACGCCGGCCTCGTCTTCCCGGTTCGCGGAGCGGAGCACAACACATTCTGCTTTCACAGTCCGTTGAAGGTTGATCCGTGGGACAGACGATGCAGAGACCGATACGACGTTGGTGTGCAATTTTTTCAGCAACATTGCGGCATCAAAGTATTGCCGTATTTCGAGGAGGACATGCATTACACGGAGCACGCTCCCGATTCGCGTTCCGCCTTGGCAGCAGCCTTGGGGCACATGGCCCCCTCCAAGTTCTCGCTCATCTAATGGCGTCTACCATGCAACTATTATTTTCCCATTTTCGAAGGCGACAAAACGAGCGACACATATACCCCCGACGAGTCACGGACAAGTGGCATTTTATTTCATTTTTATATTTTCATTTTATTAATACGACAAGAGATGCTACGATGCGACGGTCGCAAAAAAAAAAAAGCAACCGCCACTTCGACAGGCGCAGGCGATTACCCGGGTTGTCAGGATGGGATCAATGATACCTCAAGAAGCGGGCGACAAGGGATTGGAAATATTTGGAGTATTTGGGTCAGGGCATAACGTCATGAATGTGTATCATGGCCGGCGTCTGGGGTTTTCCGATTCCAACACAGCAGCGAGCACACGCATTTCTGGAATGACATTGTACAATAGCATCGATCAGCGAAGGAAGAAGACGACGCGATACCACGATACGAGAGAGGCGGGAGGGATGAGATGAAAGGAGAGAGATGAGACGACCAAACTTTGGAAAAGAAGATATTCCCCCGACATGAAGGACCAAATGGTGATGCCGACAGGTTTGGCGATGAAGTGAGATTGAAAGACCGAGGATGATGTGGGGAGGATGAGCAACGCCAAACCGAATCTGACGCGATAAGAAACCAACCAACCGAACCGAGTGCCCTGATCAGGCTGATCTGCACACCTTCAGGCCCGGACACGGAGGTGAGGGGAACATTTCCGATTGCCCTGTCCGCGGCGCGATAAGGGGATTCCCACTCTATCCAAGCATTTCCTCTCGTCTATTTCGTCTATTCGTATGGGCTACTCCGGACGGTCCCTGGGCCGTATGCATGCAGCAACCAGCAACATGCAGATGCAGTGGAAGGATGGTGGGTTTTCAGTTGATGCCACGACTGAACGGTACCACGTTCAGCTGCTTATGTTCCTTGGCTTTCCTTCGCCTGGCTCTTGGCTTTGGGACGTCAGGTCGCTTTCGGTTTCTCGGTCTTTCAGCGCCATATTCTGCGAGTAACACTTCTCGTCAAGGCTTCTTGACAACATCATCAGAAGCCCATGGCGGTATTGTCGTAAAAGTCAGCAATCCCGACTCAATACTGTCTTTTCCGCCAGTTCGGTCGCCAAGGCGGGGAACGGGAGTGCCGTCAGCCCAAGTTGGAGCGCGAGACTGGGCCCCTTTGCAGGGCATCGCTGCCAGAAAATGCTGATGGAGGGGTTCAGCCCCAGCGCGCCTTTCTTTCTCTCCACTGAGGGGTCCATGTTGAAGGAGTTGCGCAGAGTCTAGACACCACCTCCAGTGTTAGAAAACAAAACAATGGAAACTGATCAATTCCCAGCCTGCCGACCGGAAATCCCGGGCACAGCCGGGGCTCGGTGTTGCCTCCCAAGTTGACGTGCGCTTCCAACATTGACGTCTAACTGCTAATAATTGTCCTCCTTCCTCTTTGTCTCTTCTCTCCCACGCGCTCCCCACGCTTGACGTCGAGTTCCTCTTACGCATTGAATTGCGCTGATTCGCGACCGCCTCGCACGGCAGGGGTGTCACAGCACGAGCCAAAATAAAAACGAAAAATAGCAGCTGGCGTGAGATGCGCCCGGGATGACGAGATGCAAGCAAGGCAACATGGGCGAAATCGCGACTCGCGAGTTGGCGCGCATGTTTGGTACCGAGATGTTCAGCGTTGTTCTGTCATTTCGGGGATCGAGCCTTTTCCTTCGCACCACTTTTTTTTAGAGGGTTATCCCCGTCCATGTTGATCCCTTTTTTTCTCACTCGTCCCTGATTCTCTATCTTATCTTTTGACATCTGGACCTATCTGTCTGTGCACATGTGACGTGGGTCACTAACGAGGGTTCATCCAGGCTCTGACAGACACCTTCACTGCAAAAAACGATCGTGCGCAGATTGATATGAGATGAACGTCAAACTTTCTCTCCCAAAGCCCGCGGAAATTCCTGATTCCTCCAACCACTCTGAGACCATCCTAAATGAAAACTATCCATAACTCTAAAGCTCCCTTCACCCAGTCAGGATCTAACGGAACCATCTCCGCGGGCAAATCGCACCCCCATTCCCCCTGATTCCTGACTCTCGACTGCCGGCCGCCCGTCTGAATTTTTTGCGTAGCACGGAGTGGCCAAGCACCTAGCACCTAGACATCGGCTGCTTCCGGGGGAGTTTCGCCCGCCGGCAACCACCGGCGGCGGGCTGGGTCGCGCTTGGCGCTGCTAGTTGGGCTGAGTTAGCGACTTGTGAATTGTGAGTAGTGAGTTGTGTGTGTGCGTCGTCGTCCTGGGAGATCGATCGGCTTGGGCTGGGCCTTTTCTTCAACTGGCAAAGGGGGCATTGATCTGCGGGCGGTTTTGGCAGTTTAATTACTGATTGAGCGAGAATTGCTACGGGGTTCGCCGGTCGATTTGGGGTGGTGGTGGTGGCTTGTTTTCGGGCTGAGAGGCGGCGTGGCACGGGTGGGATGCCGATGTGGGGACGAGGCCGGTCCGAGGGGTTTGGGTTGTTTGAACGTCCCGGGGCGCTGGGAAATCGCGATCGTTGGTAACTTTGAGGCTTTGATGGTCATGTTGCCAATGCAATGTTTGAAACTCTCTGGTTACCAATTTTGTAGATTTCTGAGGCTGCCTGGTTTTCTTGTGTCGGAATGGCTTTTGTTTCTGTTCGTGTAGGTACATTTGGAATCATGCTTCGGTCAGGGGCAACCGTACCTTGGTTAAGGTAACGACGACAGCAGGAGCTTCGCTTTCCGGGTGTGCAAGGACAGAGACAAGCGCAATGATAGTAAGAGTCATAACAGAATGTAATGGCACCCGATACAGGTAGTGCTCGACCCGAAGATGGAAGTATCCGCCTTGGTAACAAAGCCGCAGGATGAAGCCAAGTGAACAGCATACAGGTCCAAGCACGTGACACTCGGGTCCTAGTCACCGATCTAGGTGCGTGGCTCCAGAAATTTGTGCCGTCACAGGACTACATGTCATAATATGATCGAGTTTATCTTTGTTTTCAGTTGGTGACTATACCTCACCCTGCTGAATTGATTAATCATTCAAATGTGAGATCAATGTAGTAAATTGATGTCAAGCATGAACTGCATGCACATTGTAGGAGCCAAAGACAAGTTAAGAGTATCAGGCTAATTGCATGCCTATTCGCTTTCAAAGGATTCCCTTACTCGAATAGCAGGATTTCTTGGAACCTTCTAGCCTGAAGAGAATATTTCCATTGAACGCAATGCAGACGTACGTAATTCAAACCATATGACGTATATTTATCACCAAACTAGCATGACCTTTTCATGTACTCTTTCTTACTTACTGAGCCACAGTCCAAAACGTGTAACGATGTTCTCTCTCTTTTTTTCGGGCTCCTCGATCTGATCCTCAGGCTTCTCAGTCTTGCGGGATTTGGTGGGAGCGCTGGCCGCCTCGCCAGTTAACTCATTGTCCTCGTCATCGCTTGACTCGGATGTGAAAGATGTCTGCGAACTTTGAGCAGAGACAGGTGCTCTTCTTCTTTTTTCTGTCTTGCGTCTTCGGTTTCGTTCCAAATTCGGCACAGTGGACTTTGGGGTCCATGGAACCGAAGGCGGACCTTGGGAGGGTCGGAATAGGGGACCAGTTGAACGTGCATTCGAGGGGTATGGTGGAGCTGGGCTCGGAGGCGGAGGCTGGACGGGAAATAGCTGAGAAGGGCTCTGTGCCGTAGAGTTTCCTAAGCCGGCTCCTGCCACAAGTGGAGGTATCGTGGACTGTCCTGGAGCCGGCATAGGGGGCCGCCATGGAGAATGCGCATTCTGTATTCCATTCCGAGCCTGCTGCTGTGTAGGGTACGGTTGTGGCACAAACGGCCGCGAAGGAATCGGAGCAATATTTGGCTTGTCCATGGGCCACATTCTCATCTCGATGATCTCCCCCGGCTTAATCGCCGTTTCCCACAGAAGCGGGAGAATTATGCGCCCGTCTGACCCTATTAGATCGTAGCGGCCCTCTTGGACAAGAGGCCCGACAATATCAACGTGTAAGAAAGCTTGTTTTACAATTTCTTCCATATCCTAGTCATTCCATGTTAGCCTACCTGAACACGAACTCTGCAAAGGAGCTGACTTACCCTCCAGCGTCGTATCTCGTGGTATGGGAGAGTAAACCTCCTTCCAACGGCATCTTTGAAGTCGATCACTTCGACCCCTCCAGTGTGCCGGTTATCGTATGACGTTCGCATCTGCTGCACAGGCTCTTGTACCTGCCTCTCTGTCTGCTTCTGAGGAGTGGGTGCTTCTTGCGCGTCAATGTTCTTTAAGATTCCACTGTCGTCTTCTTCTTGTCCGTCGACATCCTCCGAGATGGAACCTTTAATCTCGTCATTGGAAAGCTCGGTCCATTCGGCAAGTAATTCATCCACCACCTTCCGTGGATTGATTGGCTTTTGAGTCACCCTCAAAGACAGATCACCGACCCAACCTTGCCCGGAGTTGAAAGATGGCGAGTGTGTGTTGTCATCTTTCTCACTGGGGTCACCGTGGTCATGATCATATTCCCCTTCCGCACGGCATTCTGCGTAGGCAGAGAAAACAACGGCATACAGCCAACCCGCTGTGTCTCCCGTGGCATCTCTCCACAGCATCAACTGATTTTGTCCATAGTCTTCCGCAGCAGGTTCATCATCGGTCCCGTCTTCTCCTGATCGATCAGGCGCGAACTCCGTTTCTTTGAGTTCTCTCAAGGATTGGTAGGATGCCTGAACAACATTTTCTGTCTGCTGTATTTTCAAGTCTCTCTCGTCTACGGAAGCATCGCTAGCGCTGGTTTGCTTTGTGCTGCAACGGGTGGTTAGCATTTGTTCTCAAAGTTTCCTTCCTTGCTCTTTGGATGAAGATCTGGAAGAGACATACCTGGCTGTCAGTTTAATCTGGACTGCAAGCGTCATTGTATGCAGGATCATGTTGATAGCGTTTTTGTGAGCTTCAACCTGGTGAAGCAATTGCACGCTCATCGATCGTCTGAACACCCATTTCAATCGCCCTACGCCGCCGTTGATGTCCATTAGCCTCCCAATCTCGTTATGGATCATATCGATTCTTCTCATAGCGGAGCGAATACGCCCAATCAGTTTTCGTCGGAACAGCTGCAAACCATCATTCAAGACGCCTTTGAGTTCACTGAGGATCACAGAGAGGTCGGCGATACCCCGCGCAATGTCTGCAATCTCTTTCGGCGCTCCGCGAACCGTGGATATTATCTCATATATCATCTTCGAAAGTGATGCTCCTGCCTGGGCAACGCCGGCTATGCTTCCGATAACAGACAATGGGTCCATCTTTGAGGTAATTTGCGGGACTGCCAGAACTTGGGGCTGCGAAGGGGATGAACCTGAAATCAATCGAGACAACGATGGCGATCTGGTTTAGGTATATCAAGAAGGAACGCCTCGCAGGTAGATAAGTATTTAGCGTGCGAGCCTGCCGTGACAACAGCAGATTTCAAGTCCGGCCTGTCCAGGATGAGCAGGCTGGGATGGCTGACGAGAGGCGCAGCAGGCGTGTGTGCGCGAGTGACATCAGCCTATCATCAATACACCTACCATTACCTCTATCGTATCTGCAAGTTATAACACACAATTATAAGCGACAAACTTAGTACTTGGGCCGGGTCAAATGGTAGGCAGAATCGAGAAACTTGGCACTGGGCCGAGTCACATGAGGGCAGGCAGCATACACAAACGAGTACGGTGGTAAACAACATAATTGCAAAAAGAACCCGCACTCTGAATAGCAAAAGTTGCGCCGAGGGGGAATCGAACCCCCGGCTCCCCGACGCTGCTGAATGGCAACGGAGAATTTTACCACTAAACCATCGGCGCTCTAATGATATTATGTCTTCTTGGACGTGGTTGGTGACGACGTTGGCGGAGACCATCATGTCATCCCTAGCGTGGGTCGTTGTTGTGGGGGTTGAGGGTTTAGATTCGCCTTTTTGCAGAGATATTTTCACTCCTACTTGTTGATCGTGAGGTCCAAGCTCCATCCTTGAGCGTGTTCTTCCCAGAAAGATTCTGCAAGGCAATAAAGAAAAACAACCAAGTTAGGGGGGTTCCGGTCTCGTGGGCTACTGAGGGCTGGGTTGGGAAGATACAGGCCTGACCAGTGATCGGCTAGCTGTCGCCTAGCGGCCTGATATTTTCGACTTTGGGGGAGGAGGGTTGTTGTTGTTGTCTCTACGAAGAATCAGGCAGCCAATCGCTATAGTCTACTGCGTCTTTCATGCGTTAGGTGTGGCTAATTTGAAGCAGGCTGTGCTGCAGGCAACGATGGCTAGGCGCTTCTTTTGGCTGACATGCATAATGACGCCGACCCCTCAGAGAAGGCGCTTAGCATCTTGCTCCCAACGCTCACCTAAGATGCTCTCAGGTTTACGCTCATGGTCCTGTCGCCGTTTGCTTCGCGAAAGTTTCTTGAATGTTTCCTACGTCCACCAGCGGCTACTATCGATTGCGGGACACCACAGTTGCCGAGTACGGCTCCAGTTATTGCAGCCGATCAATGGATCATGGATCCCTTTTCGGCAGCCACCGGCGTAGCTGGCCTCATATCCTTGGGCATTGAGGTTTGCAAAGGTCTGAACGCGTACTGTCAGGATTATCGAAGCAAGGACAGCGAGATCCTCGCCATCGGCCAACATGCAAACAAATTGAGAGCTTTCCTTTACTTGATTGAAAGTCGCATGAAGGGAAACTCCCAGGTCGATCAATCTCTGGCAACCACATTCGAAGACTGTCATGCCACATGCACCCTGTGCCTGCAAGACTTCGCAGCACTAAACACGAAGTACACTCGTCCGAAAGCTGTTTCTGGATTCAGAAAGCAGGGCAAGGCATTTGTACGGCAACTACAGTTTCCGTTTCACAAAGACAAGTTCGATGGTCTCAAATCTCAGATGCTCGAATTTCAAAACGCTCTCTCCAGCTGTTTACTTTTGCTGAACTAGTGAGTTCCGAATCATAATAGATTTTCATTAAGGGTGCGCCTTTCTAATAGTTCGATAATCGACAGCGATCGTACGACTGAAATACTCCACACCACAGTCTCGGAGGCTGCCAACATCTCTTCTGCTATCATCTTGCAGAGCCATAGGACAACGGACCAAATATCCCTTTTGCTGCCTCAGATTGAAAAGAGCATAGACGAGAGATTGATTAAATTTGAGAAATTGGCCCTCGCACGCTCTGAAAGCAGGGAAAAGCAGACTGCCAACGTTTACATCCACGGACAAGACGCATCAACTCCGATGGATGATTGGCGCGGTTTCCGCTCGGACGACAGCCCATTCGATCATGACCGACAATCAACCGAAAGTTCTACATCTGGAGCTGATCCTGCAATAAGAACGTACTCCAGGAGAAATGAACAGCTCGACGAAAAGAAATTTTCAGCGTTTTCAAACTTCAGCTGCAACTGCAAACACGGCACTCCAACAAGTCGGCCTGGCTCTCGACATCCCGATGTGCTAGAACACGAAGAAGGTTGTCCTGCTTCATTTCTCAACAAGAGAAGCCAAACGATATCCGGCGAGATCAGATTTCTGAGCACTCTTTTTCGTTGGAAAGTCCGCATCCGCTACTCGCAATTCTTTATGCGGGATCTCCAAGTACATCCCAACTTCACAGTTACAGCAATCGTCCCGAGAAGCCCCGCATTCGAGCTCGTAGATAACTCCCTGCAAGAGATAACAGGTGAGATGACAAGAATGCAAGTGGAAGAGAAATTGCTTGCTCTATCCAAGGGACTGCGCGAACTCTTCATGAATCGGAAAGCTTGGCCAACAGATATTTCGCCTACGGATCAAAATCTTCTCCATGTGAGTTGACATGATTTCCCATGATTAGACTGAATGTATCAACTGACTGACTATGGGCAAGCGAGCTTGCGTATACTTCAATAGGAACTGGCCAGAAGACACTGCCAATCTCTTTGTCCAGCTTTTAAGTGTCTTGGTATCCATGGGCGTCCCTATAAACGGCAGTGGACATTGTGGGTAAGTACATGTAGGTAGAGGATGTGTGATAGAGAAGGTTTTTTGAGGGAGATGATTAGCTAACTAATCCTCCATGAAGGACTCCTTTGCGCTGGTTCATGTGGTCTCGCAGCGAGTTCCGACCTCGAAAACTTCAGACTTTGATGATCGGCTACAATGAAACATCAAGTATTGTTGCCAGGGAAATGATCTCGTTGGATGCATACTATACGGAGAACCCGGACTCAGAATTATATCAAGACCGAGTTTTCAGCGGTACAAGAGCTTTATCAGAACTCTTTCCGTACATGGGAGATGCACTTCACTGTGAGCTTCTTGCCTCAATATTAACATGTAGCTTCTGCTCACTATCTGAGTAGGTTTTGAGTACGGCGAACTATCGTCAGCCTTGATACGAAGATCAGAGGCTGATGTTCGTCGACTCCTGGGCCAGTCATCAGACTACATTTACGAAAGAGGCCATCAAGGGCAAACCCCGCTGCATATTTCTGCTGGCTGGCCTCAGGGTTTGAACATACTCTTCGAATTAGCTGGTGACCTATGTAGATCCATCATCAACACTGTGGAATCTACAGGCATTGCGCCGATAAACTGCGCAATTCATTTGCATCAGACGGAATCCATCATCATATTGCTGAAGCATGGCGCGGCTATCGATCTTGAGGATACATCCGTCTATTTCCCCACCAATCGGGATGGGGAAACCGACCCACAAACCAAAGAAGTTTGCGACCTCCTAGCTGCGACTCTTGCAAATCGCAGAAAGGAGCTTCTCCAGTACGCTCTCATGCAGCTCGCGGAGTCCGACGTAGTGCGTTTCGATTTGCGGGATATATCGATGTTACAACACAACGCGTTCGAAGTTGTCGAGACCATGAAATCCAAGGGCATTCAGCTTCCGGTGATGTGCGGAAGCGTTAGGCAAGGATCCATCTATCACTCGAACGAAATGGACGCAACCCTGGCAGAAGCATTGTTCGAGGCTGGCTTCAATGTTGCTGATTCGTATTGGAATGGATACGCACCTCTGTTGATTTACCGTTTCAGGAACCTAAGCCAAGCTGTACACCTTATCAGTTGGTTTCAGCAAAAACAGGCGAACTTGCTCGCGACAATCCCTCATACTTTGATTCTGCCTTCAATCAATTACCCTCTGGGATCTCTTCAATTTCGCGTAATTCATCGCCTCGCGAGCACTTTGGGCTATCACACAGCGAACCAAAGGTTCACAAACCTCGACTCGTTTCAGGCTCCTTTCCATTGTCGAGTTCAAATGCGAAGGATACTTTCGGAGGTGTCTCGAGATCCATGCCAATGTTATTGTGCACCGGAGGGTTGCGGCCCAACCACCGTGTTTACAAAAGTTTTGTTCAGATTTCATTCCAGATGGCTGTCCTGGATCACCCGTAAATTCAATGACTTGGATACTGTGCTTGAAATCATGTCTGAGCAGCAAGAACATGTTAAAGCCGCCTTTGTTAGAGTTTGCACCTTCGATCGACTGGGAATGCGTCATACCTGTTGTGTACACACCTCTTTTGTCGATGGCATCGTGTCACGAAGGTCACTAGATCGACTAGATCGACTACAGCCGATCATCGAAGTCATGGATCATTTGGAGGCCGAGGAGATAAGAGAGGAGGACAGATATCTAGCAGAGAATTTAGAAGAACTCATGAGCGAGTTCAAGGCAAGGCTGCGAGATAGAACGCAATCCTTTCGGGACTTCTTGAAATGGTGGATGGAACGAATGGATGAAGTAGATGAGGAAGACGATACCATACCTGACGAGGACATTGAGGCAATGGTCGATATCGGCGTCCGTCTTGAGATATGATATAGAGGCCGTCCTTGCAACGGCGTAGGCGTTAGAATGGTTTTAAGCATCTTGAATGGTTTTCCTGTGCTAGAGAGACTAACACTCCTGTGATCATACCTTAGTCTATTCTACTGCCGTCGTGGTCGGTATCATTTATCACCTTCTTCGTCTCTATCGCTGTCGTTTCTATAGTCGTCGTCCAGACTATCATAACCGTCCGTCATGGAGGCAGTCAAGCACGTAGGAAAATATAGCTGCGCAGACCTCGGAAGATTAGGTGTTCACTCCCACCACTGTGATATCCGAAGCCCTCGGTATGCGATCTTACAGACTTGCCTGGCTGATATTGTTACATGGCTCAAGCTTCGGATCGTAACATTACCGCCATTGAAGGTTTACCGGTGGGATGAACTCTTTCAAACCCCCTTGCAACAACGACCACAGATTAAAGTTCACAGAGTTCATCACATTAATGCCCACCCCAACTCCCTCTCCCCTCACCTCCTTTTCTCAACTCAACCCAACCTCAATCCCAACATCACCAAACGTGACTCACAATGGTGGCCCTCGCACTCACCCTTCTCCTCGCGATTCTCGCCGCGGCCGCGCCAGGCAAACTCGGCATCGTCGTCGCCCGCTTCAAAGAACCTCTCGACCCCTGGGCGACCCATTCCAACCTCACCACAATCTACGCCAAAGGCAACGTCCCGCAGGAAAACGACACAATCCAGCACTCCTCCTTCCGCTCCTACGTCCCGCTCCCCAACATCGGCCGCGAAGGGCATACGCACCTTTTCCACATCGCCACAAACTACGACACCCTCGACGACGTCATGATCTTCACCCAGGCGGACCCCTTCGACCTGCTCGCGCCCGCCGTCACAACCCCGGACCAGATGATCGAGAAAGCGCTGCAGGTCCCCGCCGACGACGTCACGCCCTTCAACCCGACTTTGTTCCACGACGTTGCGGACTGGACCAAGATCGACTGGAACAGCTCCAAGCAGGCGCTCTGGATCACGGAGAGCCAGAAGAAGACGCTGGCGCTGGCGCCGTACACTCCCGGGCAGTTCTGGACCAGGGTGGTCGGCAGCCGGCACCCGCCCGCGATCAGGGCGATGCACGGCGGCACATTTGCCGTGAGGCGAGAGACGATTCAAAGGCTTCCGAAGGTTGTTTATCAGAAAGCGCTGGATGAGTTTGAGAAGGCGAACTCGAGCAACCCTGAGATTGGATTCTTCATGGAGAGGATGTGGGCGCCGATGTTTTCGGACATGTACAGGTTAGCAGCAGTTGAGAACCCGTAAAGGTGATGTGTGTGCATGTACTACATGTAATGCTAGATACTGATGCAAAAAGAGGACAGATCAAATAGAGAACGCATTTGCAACCAAAAGCAAAAGAAACTCCTCGACGGGGAATTGAACCCCGGTCCCCGGCGTTTAATTGAATGACAAGCCGATATCCTCACCACTAGACTATCGAGGATTTGCTGATGAAAAAATGGCAAAGTTTGCACTACATGACCCCTGCGTGGGGAAGCGGGGCGGCAAGTCGGCCGAATGTCCACAAACACCAACGCGCAGTTCAAGCCGAATAGCCCCCCTATTTTTCCTATGCTACAGCGACTACTTTTCCTGTCCTTGTTATTGTTGTTTATAGTAAAGTCGCTATTATTATTACTGCTGTTGTTACTACTGTTATTACCACTATTGTTGTCGTCTATTGTTGTTGTTATCTTTCGTCGTCGTTGTCATCCTCTGTTATCGTCCTCTATCGCCGTCCTCTGTCCTTGTTCTCTGTCGTCGTCCTCTGTCGTCGTCATCCTCTCTCGTCGTCGTCCTCTGTCGTCGTCGTCGTCCTCTGTCGTCGTCGTCGTCCTCTGTCGTCGTCGTCGTCCTCTGTCGTCGTCGTCGTCCTCTGTCGTCGTCGTCGTCCTCTGTCGTCGTCGTCGTCCTCTGTCGTCGTCGTCGTCCTCTGTCGTCGTCGTCGTCCTCTGTCGTCGTCATTATTAAAGTTACCCGGCACACAGGAAACCTAGGCGTTCAGACACAGGAAAATTAGGCGGTTTCAATCCGAAAAGGCACAAGTCGTAGGCGCCTGTCAATTGTATTCATTTTATTTCATTAAGTGCTTCAAGCCTCAGAAGAAAACCAATCGTTCCCCTCGTGAACGCACAGTCTTTGCTGCCTGCCAAATGACAATCGCTCCACCCCAACGCCGATGCAGAACCCATCCCGGTATTACTCCGCTTGCCTGAACCGGCACCGCTCTCTCTCATGAGTGTCTCTGTACCATTTTGTGGTCAGTTGTTTCGTGCAAGGAAAGTTCCTGCACTGGTAGGGCTGTCTCTTCTCGCGCGTGAATGCACACCCCTCGCGGATGTGCTTGTTGCGGTTGCTGACGCTGGAAAACGTCTTGGTGCACTGCGGCGTCGGGCACGGCAGCCTACCACCCCGTGTCATGTGGTCGCGCGACGACTGCCTGGAGGCTGTTGAGGCGATGCTACTGCAGAGACGGTCAGCGCTGTTCGGTCGGGGAACCAATCTCGACGAGGAGAACATACCTGATGCTGGATGACGAGACGTTGCGGCGCATACCTAGCGTATTTAAGGAAGAAAAGCTGCTGTTCGGGGTGATGCCGGCTTCTGACCCGTATGCAGGTGATGGTGGAACGATGGATGGAGTGGCTGATTGGAAAGGGTCTGGCTTGGGCGTGACTAGGACGTTGTGCATCGCGAGGTACTCTGCCAGCAGGGTATATGAACGGGCGTATCCGGGAAGGGTCCCGGAGATGGTTTGAAGAATGCGGGTTGTCGAGCCATGAAGACCTGCGATGTTGTTAGCTCTGCGATGGTCAAGATAGAGACGCCTCGCTCACCGATCACCAAAGAGAGAACAACAGAGAATGCGACCGAGGCCAACAGCATCATGGTCGAGGACAGCGCATCTTCCCAGCTGTTCGGGAGTGCAGGCGGCGTTCTTGACACTCCCCTCGTCATTTCCTCAAAGCGGTCCATGTGGAGGAAGTCTGCCCACATGAAATCGTCTTGTTGGGTTGATGAGGTTGAGTGAGCTACAGACCGCGGTGGAGACCGACCTGGGATGGCCTGGCCTTGAGCGACCCCTTGCCGGCTCTCATGCGTATCGAACGCCCTCTGAATGGCGGCAAGTCTACTTCCAGAAGCGGAGCTTCGCGACGGAGCAGCTTCCCTTCGTCTTTCGAGCGCGAGGAGGCCCTGGACGAGTCCTTGGAAATGATGTAGGTTGCCGAGATCTAGATCGCATGATGGCTTGTCTGCGGGAATGAACTCCCACATTTCGTGTGCAACTTCGTCGAACGGTATAAGAGACGAGATGGGCAGAACTGAGCGCCATTTACTAATGTCGTTGCAGAATCTGTATTCATGTTAGTATCTGTCGCTTTGAGGTTATTCCATATACGCAAGCTATGCTCGGTGTTGTGACTTGTCAACGTACTGATTGAAGATGGCCCCGTCATTCTTGAAAAAGGTGAGGCAAATGGCATTTCCCACCAACAGCGAGTCGACAACCTCGCCCAAAGCCGACGGCGGGCTGTCTTGCATGAGGCCACGGAAGACACTGATGCCACGATACCAAACGCCGTCGCCATCCATGTACTCATCTTCCAAGTCTTTCAATTCATCGTAAGTCGAGCGGTTACATACGCCCCGTAGCTTGGAGCACAATTCGTGCATGCTCGTGACAAGATCGCGACCAAGCAAGTGTCTCTGACGCCGCGAGCCTTTGAGCTGCACGGGTTCGTTCCGTAGATTCGACATCGGTCGCTGGAGGGGCCTTTCGGTTGATGTTGGCATGCTTTGGCTGACCAACGGGTACGGCGAGAGGGCCTCGTTCCCAGAAGGGAACGCCGCGGCGGACTCAACGGCGTCTGGCTTGCTCACCGTGAAGCCAGCATAATGGTCCATGAGACTAAGCTCTGCGAACGAGTTGACGGTGTCCTCCGGTAGAAGTTCTGCTGGCGGGTTAGTGACGCCGGATGACAAGAGAATCTGCATGATCTCCGTGTCGTCGTTGAAAAGCGCAATCGCAGCAGCCTCTTGCGCACCACCGGCCATGATGTTATGGCTCAGAATCAAGCGTACCATGTCGGCTTGGCCCCAGAAGGCAGCAGCCGAAAGGGGAGTGAGAACAACACCGCTGCCGGCCTCCTCGCCCTGGTAGACACCCAAG